CACACGCACGCACGCACACACACACACACACCACCACCACCGCCACCACCACCACCGCCATCACGCACGCGCGCACCTGGCCCACCACCAAACCACCAAGACGCCACACCACGTCACACCACAGCACACGCGCACACACGCACACACACAAACACACACACACCAACCAACCAACCAACACCACCACCACCACCACCACCACCACAACCATAACCACAACCACGCACACACGCACGCACGCACGCGCACCACCACCCACTACGCACGCGCGCGCGGAGCCACAGGTCCGCTACGACACGCGTCCGCGGATAGAGAAAATCAGCGCCATGGTAAGGGATGGGAGGGAGGAGGGGTAGGACGTCAGATATGACGCGAGCGCACATAGCTTGCCTCCCTCCCCCTCCCCTCCCTCCCTCCCTGCCTCCCTCCCTCCCCCTCCCCTCCCTCCCTCCTCCCTCCCTCCCTCCTCCCCCTCCCCTCCCTTCCTGCACTGAAGGGGCCGTGGGACACACAACTATATAGAATCAGATAACCCGATTCTCCATGTTATCCCATATCTTCTGAGTTTTTGTCTACCCCCCACTTCCCATAGTTTCCGGGGAATCGACGATTCATTGTGCCTGTGTGATTTTTTCCCTCCTGAACTTCACCTCACCTCGACTCACCTCGCCTCGCCGGCCGCCCCCCCCCGCCCCGAGGCACAGGACGTCTCGCGCGCGACGCCCATCCAACCCTCGGTGCCTGAGAGTGAGCGGCCACAAGACAATATGAAAGAGACTTGCTCGTTTTTTCCTCAATTAGCGTGGTCCCCCCCCCGGGTGCCCTCCAGTGCCAACGTTGGTGGAGGTCTCGCCTCGGGGCCAGCGGCCCCGCTGGCCAGTCAGCGCCGTGGATGGCTCCTCGGGGAGGTGCTCTGCGAGGCCGCAAGCGGAATCCGCACTTTTCTGGCCACCTCCCGAATGGTGGGCCCCGAGCGTTCGCGACGGCCGCCAGGGGCGCGGGCGCCCGGTCGAAGACCACCCCAAACCCCCAAAAGTGTCCACCCTTCAAACGCGTCACTGGTCGCAGAAACACCCCGTGCCCCGTGGGGACCAGCAAAAAGTGTGCGTACACCCTGAGAAAACGCGGCAATCACGCAAACCCTTCTTCGTCCCCGGACCTCCGACGTCGTGATTGTTTCGCAACGTCGACCCCCATGCTCTGGACCCCTTCCTGGGACCGGTGTTTCATTCTGAATCGTTTTTTGACGGTCCTGAGGGCCGCGAAGGGCCCCCGGAGGCCGAAGATAGCGAAAACCCTCCCGTCGTGATTTTTTTCACAGCGCGAGGAGGTCTGGGTCTAAAGATTTTGCGGTGTCGGTCGGCCCCAGGTGGGCCCTGCCCGATCGGGCCCCTGGGGGCCGCCAGCAACGCCAGGCGCGCACTCGCGCGCCTGCCCGCTCCCGCGACCTGGCCCTGGCCCCGCTGGCCAACGACCAGCGCCGCCTGGTGTTTCTCGGGTTCCACGCGGGTCGGGGGCGAGTTGGTCTCAACGATTGAGATGGCCGACGCGCGACGCAAAGCCCAGTCGGCAGATTCTCCTCGCATGGCGCCCGGCACAAACCAATGAAGCACACAATGTGCACTGCGTTTCGTCCCCTGACAGCGGGGCGCCAAGAGGGGGTTGCTCAGGGTTTTCGAGCCTCGAAGTTCGAGGACTTCTGGCGTTCTCGTCGGCTTGCTGCTCGTCCCCTGACAGCGGGGCGCCAACGGGGGGTTGCTCAGGGGCTCGCGCCTCGAAGTTCGAGGACTGCGGGCGCGCCCAGAGATCCGACGTCGTGCTTTTTTCAATGCGGGGTCCCCGGAGGTCTCGACCCATTCCCCAGCACCGGTTTTTCATCCTGGGTCGTTTCGTGAGGGTCCCGGGGCCCGGCGAGGGCCTCTAGAGGTCGACGATTACGAAAAACCTGCCTCTCGATTTTTTCAATACGTTGGATCTCTGGGTGTTCGTCGGTGCCCAGTCGTCTTCCAGCCTCGGGGGGCGTGCCCTGCCAGCAGCGGCGCCTCGCCCGGGAGTGCCCCGAGAGGGCCTAATAATTAACGCCGTCCTGGGGAAGCGCGGGGGGCCGGAAGGCTGGAGTTGTCGGCTCGTGCTCCCCCTCTCGGGGCCCTCTTTGGGGCCGCCCTGGGGCCCCTCCTGGGCCGCCTCGGGGGCCTCGCAGGGCCGTCCTGGGGCCCTCTCGAAGCGTCGTCGGGCCCCAGAGTGGTCTCTGACGCCGTCTCGGGGCGTGCTCGGTCCCCTCTTGGGCCGCTTCGGGGCGGTTTGGGGCGCCCCTCGGGCCGTCCAGGGGCGTTGGAAGCCAAAGCGGCTTGAGCGCCCAAGTGCTTCAAAACCGTAGGACCATCTATGAAATTTGGCCTCTCGGGGCACTCGTCGGGGTCCTCTTGGAGCCTTCTTGGGCCGTCCTGGGGGCCTCTCGGTCCTTTTGGAAAGCTTCTTGGGCCGTCCGAGACCGACCCCTGGAGGCCGTCTTCGGGGTTTGAGCAGGGACCGACAGTCCCGGCATTCCTATAGGCCTACCACGACATGGTCTTAGAACCCAGAAGTGTTCTAAGAGCAAAAATAATGCTCTTAGAACATAAACCCGATGTGACAAAACAAGGCAGCCCCAGCCAGAAATGTTCTAAGAACACTGCGTGCAAACCACAAACAGGTTCTTAGAACATTCTTTGGTGGGCCTCTAGGCGAGCCAGGACGCTTCGCCACTGCTTGAGGGGTGGCTCGGGGCCGCCTTGGGCCGCCAGGGGTCGGCTGTCTGATCGCTCTGGGGGCCGATCAGCCCCTAACAGCGGGCCCGGCCGCGCCCCGAAAAGGGTCGCCCCCTCCCCCCCGGGACTAACAAGGAGACCTGGCCCTGACTCCAGATCCGCCCCACTTTGGCGTCTTTCCAACTCAAAACTGCGTCGGAAATCAGCCTACAAGAGGCCGAAAAGTAGGGCGGAAATTTCTGCACCCAACATCAAATAGAGCGTAAATCCACAGAAGAAGGGCGGAAACAGCAACAGAACAGGAGGGCGGGAATTGGCATCAGCGGGGCAGGAAAAGTAAGGCGGAAATTCCAAGCCCTGCTTACAAATTTCCCCAACGTAGGGCGGATCCGGAGTCAGATGGGGGGGGGGAGTTTGAAGAAGTGTGCCGCCCCCGGGGCCGAGGGCCCAGTTCCCCGTAATTTTTCGGGAGCAACTGCAGGGAGGTCTTCGTCGGAAAGATCAGGGAGGACTCGGCCCCACTGCGGGGCTGCAACGCTCCAGCGCCAGAGTGGGCTTCGGATTAAGCGGGATTAGACCTGATTTAGCGGGATTAAGCGGAATAACAACGGGATTAAGCGGCAAGCCGGACTTTGGACCTGGGCAAAATCAGACTTTGACCTGGCAGGAGCTGCATCCGAATGCTATGATATAGATGAGCATCAACCAAATCAAGCTCTGCACGAACTGCAAACACAACAGGCTGGCAAATTCCCAAGACATCACTGTTTACACGGGACCCCATCGGAAGGCTCGCCATAGAAGACGTCGTAGAATCCGTCCTCATAAAACAAAATGGCTAGTGGCGAGCCGGCTCGTCTTCGCCAAATACTCAAGTGCCATGCCAGCCTTCCAGATATTGACTACCTCTTAAACCACCCCAGCTCAACCCGAAGACCCGAATGTCGGGTGGTACGGGTTCAATTATGTTGTTGTTCAATGTTCCCGACCCCCCCGCCACACACTGGAAATTGAGGGCAGTTTGAGGCCTTCGGGTTGGGTTGGGGTGGTTTGGTGGGTGGTGAGATATTGCCGACGACTTGTCTACAGTGCCACTTAATGTGCTACCCCGCCAAGTCTACAAGACCTTCCTGTACAGTGCGAGGTTCGCTGTCACGCTGCACCAACAACTTCGTGGCGGGTTAAGATTGAACCACTTCCCTGCGAAGCCCTGGCTTGAGTGTTCGGAGGTCGCGCCGATGCACAGCATGCTCCTGCGAGCACGAGGCTCAGTCTGTGAGGATGCACTCGCCATGGAGAACACAATTACCGAGCACATCTGCACCACTCCGCGTGGACCAATCAGTATCATGACTCATAGAAGTGGGTGAGCGCAAGCTCGATGGCAGGTTGACACGCAATCGGGACCAAGAGTCGATATGGTTTTGAACTTACGTGGCTCTGGAACCGATCGCGACGATCATCCGCCACCGTGCCCCCTGGCACGTTGAGGTGTGGTAGAATGCAAACTGCTGCCTGGCAGAGTTTGTGTTTCTAGGGGCCCCCCTCTCGAAGTGCCCACCTGCATGCATGCACCTCCTCCCTTCCCGAGGCTTCCTGGGATCCCTCACATCTCCCTGACGCTCTCCTACGCGTCGAAGCTGCCCCAAATAGCCCCAAGACGGCAGAAGATGGCCCAAGATAGCCTCAGGACCGCCCAAGAGACCTCCAAGACGGCCCAAAGGGGCTCTCAGGGAGCCTCCAGCAAGGCCTGAGAAGAAGCCATCACCATTCACTTATACATATGGTTGCATTCTCGTTTTTTCTGGCTTCCGTCGCTCCAAGACTCCCTAAGAGGCCCCCAGGACTCCCCCCGAGAAGGCTCAAGAGGCCCCAAAGAGAGCTCCTGGACGGCCCAAGAGGGTCCCAAGACAGCCCAAACGGCGCCCACGACTGCCCTAGAGGGCCCCAATACGGCCCCAAGAAACGCGAACCAGAGTTCGAGGGTTCCGTCCCAAGAGGCCCACAGCAGACCCTCTCAAGTAATTGCCCCCCAGAATGCTACGCTGGCACGATGGCGGAATTACCAGAGGCAGCTGGATTGTACGGTGGCTAATGTTACCTGTGCTAACCATGGTGTGTCATACGTCCCGTCCTGTGGGACAGTACACGGCGCATGCGCAATGCCGATTGGGAGGAGGAGGAGAAGGAGGAGGAGGAGGAGGGAGCGGCAAGAAGGGGAGGAGGACGAGATGCAGAGGAAAGAAGGGGGACAGGAGGCGGGGCGAGGGCCACGACGGGGGGAAGGGCGGGACAAGCAGGAGCACCGCTGGCCGCGGGCGACGCGCGACGGAAGAGAGCCCGCGCTCTGCCAGGAGCGCCTCCATCGAGTCGTCGTCGTCGTCGTCCGAGGTGTCGTCGGCACCGTCGCTGGATGCCTCCGTCGCCTGCCGGGTGCGGCGGAGGCCGACCAGCACCCCGCCAGGTACACATGGACCCTTCCTCCTCCTCCTCCTCCTCCTCCTCCTCCTCCTCCTCCTCCTCCTCCTCTCCTCCTCCTCCTCCTCCTCCTCCTCCTCCTCCTCCTCCCTCCCTCCCTCCTCCTCCCTCCTCCTCCTCCTCCTCCTCCTCCTCCTCTTCCACCTCCTCACTCTCGACGGAAACGGGAGGAGCGGAGCAGGAAGAGGACAAGGCCGCTCAGCCGGTGTAGGCCACAGCGGGCAGGCGGCGGAGAAAAGCGCGCGGGCTGCGCAGCAAGCAGCGGGTGGCCAGGGCTGGAACTTGTAGAGAGAGAGAGAGAGAGAGAGAAAACAAAAAAAACCTTGAGATAAAACCTGACCATGACGTGGAAGACCCAGGTAACCTTGAACGAGCAGGGCTGCGGCGCGGCGGAGGCCGAAGCCGCGGGCCGCGAAGGGAGATGCTCTTGGACAGGAGCGGTGAGCATGGAGCGGAGAGCCCGGAGGCGGCGAACCCGATCAGGGTCTCGCCATCGCTCGGACGTCCATTCCCTGTGTTTTGTTCGGTTTCGTGCGTGGTTTTTTCGCTAAATGATCAAGGATGCTCCTCGATGGTCCTCGCCGAAGGAAAAATGCACACGTCCGAGCGATGCCAGGGAGCCCAGAGGCGGCGAACCCGGTCAGGGTAGGTGGTCGTCAGACGGACAGAGAAGCCCACAAGGGTAGCCCGGGAGCCAAGCATGACCGGGTAAGCTGCCACACGCGGCGCCAGGGGCCGGGCAACGACAGCCCGAGCGGACGGCCAAGACATGAGGACGCCACCGACGACCAGGGGCCTGCCCAAGAACACGGGGCGTGCCTGACTCGACGGTGCAGCGTCAGTTCCAAACCACTGTCGCCCCCCCCCTGGGCTGTTCTCAACGTCCCCACGTCCCCGAGGCGTCCCGGGACTGCCGTCTGCCCCCCTGGCTCTTGGTCTTGGAGGAGGCAAGACATGTCCGTGGTACACCCTTTGGCATGCTGCCGTCACACTCGAAGCTGGGAAACAGAAACAAAAATGCCAGGACCGAAACAGCGGAGGCCTGATCTGCCGCTCTGCCCACGGCACTGCACGTTCTGGCCCACAGTCATCTCGGACACGCGCTGACATGGAATTGGGGACTCGTGGATCTGGCGTTAGGTCGAGCCTGTCCCCCTAGAGCGGCACTTTGGACGACACATGAAAAGTACTCAAAACATGCACCCAAATGCTCAAAAACAAATCTTAAAAAAAAAATCCCCAGACTATGTTTTGACTATTTTCGAATCTTCCCCCTGTGGAGGGACAGGCCCGACTCAAGCCTGGCGCGCCGGCGCCAGCTGCATGGATCGGGGAAGCCGCACGGAAACGCGAGGAGACTGCGCCCCGAGCCGGCGGCGGAGCGCGCCCACCCCACTGAAAAAAGCACGACGTGGGGATCTCTGGGGAGCATCCCGAGGCTGGGAACCCAGAGATCCGACGTCGTGATGCTTTCAGGACGGGGTCCCCGGAAGCCTCGGCGCATTCCCCGGGACCCGTTTTTCACCCCGAGAGTCGTTCTCTGACGGTCCCGGTCCCGAGGCTGGGAGCCCAGAGATCCGACGCCGTGCTGCTTTCAAGACGGGGTCCCCGGAAGTCTCGGCGCATTCCCCGGGACCGGGTTTTTCACCCCGCGAGTCGTTCTCTGACGGTCCCCGGGGCCCGGCGGCGGCCTCCCGAGGCCGAACATTTGCGAAGAGCCTCCGTCGTGACTTTTGTCAAGACGTCGGATCTCTGGGCGGGCCTCGACCGGAGGAGAATCGAGGAGGATCGAGGAGGGGGAGGGGGAGGGGGAGGGGGAGGGGGAGGGGGAGGAGGAGGAGGAGGAGGAGGAGGAGGAGGAGGAGGAGGATCGAGGAGGAGGATCGAGGAGGAGCATCGAGGAGGAGGATCGAGGAGGATCTCTGTGGAGACCGCCGAGCTCCGACGCGAAAGCCGATCGAGCCCCCAATCCGACGCTGCGCCTCGTGCGCCGCTGCCACCCGCGCCTGCTTCTCGGGCACCGCCGCGCCGTGCGCCTGGCGCGGGGCGCAGCTGAGGGGCAACGATAAGGGGGGAATCGGCCGAGGCTTAAGTCGGGCGTGTCCCCATACAGGGGGGACTTTCGATGAAAAATAAAGAATATTTGAAACATGCCCCAATACGAGGGGACTTTCGACGAAGAATAAAAAATATATGAGAAATGCTCCCAAATGGCCAAAACAAATACTCAAAAAGTAGTCCCCCAACTATTGTTTGCCTATTTTTGGATATTCCCCCTGTAGAGGGACAGGCCCGACTTACGCCCAGGGGGGGGGCACCTCGTCCTGGAACCGGCGACACGTACATCGCCGATGCACCGGTGATCGGCCCCCGACAGCACACCCGCACGCTCCTGGGCGGGACGGGGCCATGGGGCCCCTCATCGGCGATCAGTGGGCGCCCGGGGGCCGATGCGTCCCACCCACATGCCCTTGCCCACCCCTACTTGGCGGCGCGCACAAGGGGGTGGAGGGAGGGGGGGGGGTTCTCAGAAGGAGGCTCCTCCGTGGAAGGCGCCGGCCTGAAATCTTTAGACAGGGCCCGCGCCTTCTGAGAAGCAGGGGTGCTTCTGAGAAGCCCTCCCCCCTCCCCCCACCTCCCTCTGCGCGTGCTTGAAGGATCGCTGCCCCCGAGAAGCAAGGGCAGCCCAAGGGCGCCCGCGCAGACCTGCGAGGCGCCGCGGGCCCCTTCGAAGCCCCGGCAGCCCTGCGCCTCCCCTCCAGCCCACCTCCCTCCACCCCCCTCCGCGCCGTCCCTCCCCCACTCGCCTCCCCCCCGGCCTCCCCCCCCCCCGCCTCCTCCTCCCCCCCCCGTGCGCTCCTCCTCCCCGCTCCCCCCCTCGTCCTTCCTCTCCCCCTGTCCTGTTGCCCCTCCTGCTCTCTCTCTCTCTCTCTCTCTATCCGTGTTTTTTTGTTTCTGTTTCTCCTGATTCCTCAATTCTAGAGGATGTGTTTCTCTCTCTCTCTCTCTCTCTGCTGTTGCTATGTATGTTCCTCTCTCTCTCTCTCTTGTTTCTCTCTCTCTCTCTCTATCTCCCTCTCTCTCTCTCTCTCTCAGAACACACACACACACACACACACACGCGCATAAGCCTCACCCTCCTCCTCCTCCTCCTCCTCCTCCTCCTCCTGATACGAGCTAAAACCGCCTTCTTCACTGGATTTCGCAATGCCTGGGGTGGGCACATATATACCCTTTCTGCCGGTCATGGGATGTGCTTGTTCACACTCAGCTCTCGTATAACGTAGACTGCTCAAGAGCGAAGACGAATCCTCATCATGTCCTGCCCCGCCTGGGGCACCCAGACTATGTCGTGACGTGCTAGGCGATGCATCGCTATGCAATGATCTGATGCGCACTGCATTGCGACTCTTCGCACAGATGCGCCCTCCTCAATCAAAGTACTAAGTACCCCTGATTGGCACGCGCCAAGCTCATAATACCCCCCGCGGACTTTGCAAATGTATCCCTCCCGCGCCCGCTCGCCTTCAAGGGTAGTTCGAGGGCGAGGGGCCGCAGCACCTACAGACGCAGACGAAGGGGATGCCGGTGGCGAGGCGGGGGGTGAAAAGGCCGACGCCTCCAGGTGGGGGGGGAGGAACGCAGATGTGCGACGCTGTCAGGACAAGAATTTCGGCCCTGCTCCCGCATCGCCCGCATGCCCCTCCCCCCCGTTCGTGTCCCCCTGCGTCCTGCTCCCCTCCCCCTCCTCCTCGCCACTTTAACTCCCCCTCCTCCTTTCCGTTAGCGGCACGAGGACCGCCTCGATGCCCGTTCCGACCGAGGACCCGTCGGACTCGTCGGACTCGTCGGACTCGTCCGCCTGCGGCTTCGGACGCGAACCATCAGTAGCGGAAAAATGAAAGGAACGACGAGGAAAGGGAGGAGAGGAGAGCAGGAAGAGGAACGGCGAGGAAGTGAACGACAACGACAAATGAGGAGGTGAACGAGGACGGGGGGTCTATGAGGGAGAAGATACGAGCAGGACCAGGATCAGGAGGATGAATGGGAGTGGACCACGAGTGGGAATAGTCCTAAGGGCCAACAACAAAAAACTTAGGAACTTGGCGAAAACAACCCCTGGGGACGTTATATCTGTATATATATTTATATATATACACATATATATACACACATATATGCGTAAACGGATGACTGTTGAAACAGTCCCTCGGGCCCAGGGACTGTTTACGATATTCCAAATGCTAAGAGATGATAGCGTTGGTGGTGATTCTTTCCACTGCGATGCCGCAAATGCGGATTCACCGCGGCAGCGGCCACGGCACCCAGTAGCTGACCACGCAGCCCAACGAAATGGTCGACGCATCCGACGCACTGCCCGAAAGAGCCGACGGAATGCCCGGTTGAGCCGACGCACTGCCGTCGGCCGCCTGCCCACGGTCGCAAGGCCGGGGCTGCGGCGTCTCAGCCGCAACTGCGGCGCCCTCATCTCGCGACGAGAAGGGGCCCCACCCCGCATCCCATGACTCCCAGGAGCACCATGTCGCAATGTTCCAGTCCTTCCAGGAACCGCTGCCTCTCGTCGTGCTGCCGCGCTGCTCCTCGTCTGCGGCGGCGCTGGCGGGCGTCGGCCCGGCCGCTGCCGGGGTCCCGAGGCCACGAACCGTGTCAGTGTAAGTGGCGCTGCCGTCCCGTGCCCCAAGTGCGGCCCAGAGCTTTGCGGCTACGGTTCCCTTGCCCCGCTGCTGGTGGCCCTTGCGTTGGTGCCCATTTTGCTGGCCGCACTTCTGCCTGTAGCCCTTCTGCTGGTTGCCTTCCCCCTGGTCGCCATTGCCATCGCCCTTCTTCCCCCCGCGCTTCTGGTTCCGCTTCAGGGGCCTCTCCGCTAGTGTCTGTGGCGACCTGCGGCATTGATTGTGCGTGAACTCCAGCGAGGGGAAGCGCGCTCCGTTGCGTGCCTTCCCCAGATAACCTTTCAAGATGTCGACTTTCAACTGTTTCTGTCGGGTTTTGATTGGGTGGGTGCGGCACCTGCCCTTCTAGATAGATGCCCTTCCGCGAACGCGGTTCTCGCTTGATCTGCGCCATCTTTCTGTCGAACTCCGCGACTGCGGTGTCGGGCGCGCCAGATGGCGTCAGAAAAGGGCGCAGTTTGTCCATCTGGGTGAATCTATTAGGCAGGTACGTGTCCAACGGTTTCCCGGGCCAATTCTGGTAGTCGAACGCCAGGAACTCGTCGGACTTCCCTTGCGCCAAGAGCCCGCCACTGCGTTCGCGTAAAACGTCCAGGCCTTGGGCGACGCGGTGGATCTCAGGCAGGCCGAAAAAAAGAATCGCCATGCTGTCCGCTCTGGCCGCGCCGCCTGCGGTCTGCCAGGGGGCCCGTGCGGCCGCGTCGACGGTCAGGCCGCGACTACCGCATTGGCCGACTATGTCAAACATGCACACGCTGACGCCCCCCATGCACACTTGCACGTTGTGCAGCTGGACCTAGTGGACGAACTAGTTGCAGTATTCGTTCAGCTTCTGCGCCCCGGAGCCCCCGCTGGCCAACTTGTCGTGCACGCGCACCGACATGACATTGAACTGCGAACCCAGGTGCGCCTCGGCATCGCCCAGGGATGCGCGCGCGACCGCGACCCTGGAGCATCTGTCGCAGACGCCCCCTGCTTTCATCACCTCTCTCTTGTGGAAGAGCCTCGCATGGCGCCGCCGCTGGGGTCTCGAACGCCAATGAGGAGCCCCTTCGACTCGCCGCCTTTGGCGCACAAGTAGTTGTAGCGAACTCGCTTTGCGAGCACGTTGTCCGCCGCTGCGGTTGCGCTCTCTGCTGGGAGGGCCCCCGCAGGCCCACAAACGCCCCAGGGCCTCGAGGAGGTCCCCAAAGAAGTTTCGAAGAAGCTTCCAGAACGCCTGCACGAGGGAGGAGGGGAGAAGGAGGAGGAGGAGGAGGAGGAGGAGGAAAAGGAGGAGGAAGAGGAGCAGCAGGAGGACGAGGAGGAGGAGGAGGACGGAAAAGCAAAGGAGAACGAGGCTCAGGACAACAAGAGGTGTTGGATGACTCGCGCCACGGGAACTCATCTGCAGCGAGCCTCTTCCTCCTTCTCCTCTTCCCCCTCCCCCTCCCCTCCCCTCCCCCTCCCCCTCCTCCTCCTCCCCTCCTCCTCCTCCTCCTCCTCCTCCCCTCCTCCTCCTCCTCCTCCTCCTCCTCCTCCTCCTCCTCCTCCCCCTCCTCCCCCTCCTCTTCCTCCTCGCCCAGGTTTCAAACAACACGCCGACACTACGGAGAGGAAAGAGGCTGAGGCGGCCCCAGTCGAAGGGCCGAACCAGGAAGCTCCCCCTTCTGTAGCCTGCGTAGCTCTCCGAGCTTTTTAGCAGGCCTGCACGGCCCTCCAAGCCGCAGGCCCGCCTTCGTGGAGGCAAACCCTCCGCACTGATTACACCAAATAACAGGCATCTCGGGACCCTCTACCCAGGAGGCCAGAAGGAAGTGGCCCTGGGTATCCTCCCGTTCAACAAAACCACGAAGGGACTCGTTGAGTCCCCTACAGGGCCCAGCACTGTCCACCCCCGACCTCCTCAGGCAGCGGCGGCAGCGCCACTTCAACTCCGAATTCCATCACACAAAATCATGCCTGGGCGGGGGCACAGGGAGAGGCTTTCTCTCACATATTCTCCTGTCCAGGTGCCCCAGCTGCTCCTGCAGCGAGGGCCAGCACGCCAGACATCTCGCCGCCCCTTTGACCAAGGCGGAGTGCGACTTGATGGCAACAAAGATCTGCGAATTCTCATCCTCACCATAGCTGTTATAGTGGGCCGCGATCTTAGCATAGTGGTCAGCATACTTATTCCCTGCAAGGAATAGCCCATCAGCCTGGTCAATGGCCTGCGAGCTGCTCCTGTGGGCTTTCCCGTGGACACAACTGACCGAGCGACGGGGACCGACGACGCGACTGACAGCCCTCCAAAGTGCCCCTGGGAACATGTCGGCCCAAAAAGGGCCGCCGGGCGGCCGCACAAGGCCATGCAATCCACATTTAAATCAAAGCTCTCAAGTCCGTCCTCACTGCGCACCGTGGCAAGGACAACCCCCGCATGTTCTCCCGACACGGCAGTTTGGGAGAGGGTGGAGGGCACGCCTGCGTGGAGGCCTCGCACGAGGCATCCTGCTTGGTCGATCTCCACGACCGCGCAACCTGCACGGGCAAAAGACCACGTGAACCTCGGGTACAGGCAACTCCCGTCCGAGAACAGGCGGGCCCCAGGTCCAAACAGAAACGGCTCACACGCAAGGCCGTTCCCGTCAAAAAAATATCCCAGGAGCTCGGAAGTTGGGGGAGGTCGAGGTGGGCCACCCACCCGAAAGTGAAAAGGGGGCGTCCTCCACCTGCCTCTCGCGCCTGCCTGGTCATTTGACCAAGCTCCTCATCTCTAACCTCCTGGCTATGACTGCACACCCAGATCCTGTGCCAGGTGGTGTCTGGGCGACCGCAAAACTCACACACTGGGTCGATGTTCGCTCTCCACTTTTGGAGCTGCACGCGGGAAGGATGGGAGCGAGTGAACATCTGCCTGAAAAGAACCGATTCTCTCGCACTTAGGTCCAGCTTGGACGAGGCCAGGGCCTTCTTGGGGAGTTCCCACCAGAGGCCCTCTCCAAGAGATCCCTCCAACCAGGCTGAGCGCTGTCGAATTTCTCTCGCGCTACTTGTTGCACAAGCTTGTTTTTTTCAGCTGGCCTGCAAATAACACTTTGACATAGGCTGGACTGTGGGTGGTAAGTAGAATCTCCACCCCCCGACAGTCAACAAACTTGGCTGCCCCTAGGATTTCCCAGCCCACTTCTTGGAGCCAAAGGATGCAATCCGAAATGGGGCCTCTGTTTTTCAAGAGCCACCTCTTCTGGGGAGCTCCTGAGATCCTGGCTAACGCAGCATTGAATGTCTGTGACAAGATGTCCGCTCTCAGTGTGTCTTCGTGCACATGCTGGTCCTCGTGGCCCAGACTAGCTGAGGGCAGCCACCATTCCTCGGCATAGCGGACCACTGGCATAGCTGAAACATCTAAAGGGTCCCTGGCCCCAGACAAACACCACACCAGATCCGTCGACGCACCTCTCAGAGCTATGCCACTAGCCTTAGCGCCTACCCCTCGTAGGGCATGTACCTGCTTGGGGTTGAAGGCTACCACCTCTCCCCCATACACTAGGGACGGCTTCGAGTTGGCATGGAACAGTGTGCCTCGGGATTTACATCTACCTTGGAAGCTACTAGGCTTCCCTCGCCGTTAGAAGAACTTCGCAAAACGTTTGGCCCTGGTCCTCAGGACCTCGTTGCCTCTACGAGGTTTTCCTCCCGTGAAATCAATACCTAGATGTGGCACTGCATAGGCCGCACCACCACCCCCATGGATCCGAGTCTCTCCTGGGCCTGGCGCAGCGACGTTCCGCTCGTGGCCGTCATTCCAAACTTGCCAACCGCCAGCGGTAATCCTAGTGATTCTTGAAGATACCTCGCCATGACCCAACTAGCGTTCTTGCCCCCAAACCTGCATGAACATGTCATCTATGTGGAGGCTTTGAGCCGCGCAGTCGGCCCAGTGGGTTGCGCACGCATCCATTCCTGGCTTCAAGAAAAGCTTTGCTTCATACGTGGCTGTGCTGCTGCCTGCGACTATTCCCCGAGAGGCCCAAAAGAGCCGCGCTGACCATGCCTTCACAGTAAAGAACCCGACCCCAACCGTAGGAGGTGAGGGGGAACTCAAGGAGGTCAAGGGGATACATCATTTGGCATGCTTTGTCGCGCAGGCCCCCTCGAGGGACGCGGTCATAAAATTGCTTGAAATACCGCGAACAGTGGAGCACGTCAAACTTATTCTCATTGCCCCATTTTGCGCGCACTGCAGCTCGCCAGACCGAGTCTGACGGGGGGCGCCGCTGGGCGGCAGAGAAGTGCCCCCCCCACCCCAAACCCCGCCTCCCAGCCCCGAGTCCTCACCTTATTGCCGGCACCAAACAGCCGTGGGAAACTCTTAACATGGCCGATCGGGCGCCTCGGGCCCCCTGGACCCTCTTTAGCCATGAGGTGCACATCTGAACTGCATATTGATTTGGGGCCGTTGCTAACCAAACTCATAAAATAAAAAATCAGCGGGAAACAGTAAAGGGCCCTGTCATGAAGCAAGGCATAGTGCCGCGGGTGAAACCCATCAGGCTTGCACGTGGCATCTTAAATCTCCGAGAGCAGGCTCTGATGTGGTCAACGCTGAAGAGCCCTGGGGCATCCGAAGGTGGGCCTTCTAAGAGAGCTTGGTGCTGGGGCACCTCAGAGGCCTGCCAGGCATCCTTCCAAATGCGCGCCTGAGCTTCGAGGCGAGCCTCGACCGACAGAGACGCTTCCCTTCTCTGTCAGGGCGCACTGGAGGCTTCCCTTTTAAATACCTATGAGCCAGCTTGGCACCCCCCTTCCATGGCTTTGGTACACCACTCCTCCCAGTGTCCTCCAGAGCAGACGCGGGGGGATGGGGCGGGGCGAATCACGAAGATGCTGGACGAAGGCGACCACGTCAGACAGAACATTCCGCAGCGAACAAGGACCCGCAAGGCCGAGAGCTCCGAGATAAGACAGGAAGGGGTGCCAGAACTTGGCCCCAGCCTGCCAGAAGACTCTAAAGGGGCCCTTGTTTTGGCGGCAAGCCCGCCAGCTGGCCCAGCAGGCGGTTGGTGTAGTCCTGAGGGTACTTGTCTGGGTCGTTGAATAACGTCTGTATCTCCATGAGGCGATTAACCACCCAGCCCATACATCTCTGAGGCCGTTCGCACAAACAGGCCTTGGTATAGATGACCTGGGGAACAGGTTTCATTTGAAATCTCCGCGGGGATCCTCCTCGTAGCCCAGGCCCATCAACCCCCGTGACTTGCTCCAGCTCGGTCCAGGCGTTAACTACAAACTCGTCATAGCAGGAGTCCAATAGCTCTTGAGCCTTGCCTCTAGCTTGTCCCCTCAACTGCACATGTGGGGCTCCAGGTCCCCCCGGGGTATCAAGGAACGATTCTATGTTCTCAATCGTAGCGTCGTAGCATGGCGGCGCTGCGGGTGGTCCCATTCTTTGTTTTGTTGGAAGGTTCTGGCACTTGGCTGCCACCTTCACTTGGACCTCTTGCGTCGCCAGTCTAACTCGCATCCGCACTGGGAAATGAACTCCAATAGGAATATCGCAGTGCACATTGACCGATTCCACAAGCGGTTCGATAGTAGAGCTCATGCAAAAGAAATCGATCAAACTCTGGTTGTCCCCGCTGCTGAAAGTGCATCCAGCACTGAACCTGGCCGTCCCATTCATAGCTCCCCAAGGTACTTGGGACAACACATCATCTGGGTGAACTTTGAGATCCGCCCCCATCACAACGAGGAACGTGTGGTGCGCCCAGTCCTTGCCGAACGCTTTCCAAATCTCCAGGTTCCTCGCCGAGAAGCCCTCGCCGTCGTGAAAATAGGCTGCGTATACTGCCACAGCTCCCATCTCCCTGAGTCGAATGAATGCTCGCACCAATCGACCTGGTGAAAGCTCCGCACATCCCATGGCCCACGCGGGGATGTGTCCACGCACCAGGAGAGCGACCCCCCCACTAGGTCCCCCCCCTTGTCCCTCACATGCTTGGGTAGAAAACCGGCGCCACCCCGCCGCCTGAATACTTTCCATTGCTTGCTGGTGGCGCTCTCCTCGAAGTTTCGTCTCTTGAATCATGATGACATCTGATTCAATCTCCGCTCTCACGTCCAAGAACGACCCCCAGGGGCCACTGTTGAGGGTCGCGAAATCGAAGAACTGCCGTTTGCTAAATGTCCTGCCCTCTTGCCGCCGCGGCTGCGGCCGCCTGGGGCGTACCAGGCTGGGGGGCGCCCGCTGGCCCTGCCGCCGCGGGCTCTGCGCGGTCGCAGGGCCCACTGCGGGCGCCCCCTCGACCTCCACCGCCATCGCGGGAGGGAGGGGCGCCCTGGCGGGCCCGAGTGACCGCCGGTGTCAGTTTGGCGGCCAGGGCACGCTTCTGGGCCTGATCCAGCGCCCTCGTGTTGTCGTCAACCTCCAGCACGGTATCGAAAGCCATCTCTTCCACGTCCATTGTGCTGCCCACTGGTGTACCAGGAACAGGCCCAGGTTCGTCTTGGGCTCCCGCTGGGGTGGGCAGCTCGTGTACTGAGGCTTCTGCTGGGATCGCCACCAGCTTCGCCTGCAGCGCCTTCCACAGGTTCTGGCCCTCCTGGTCGAGGTGCCCGTTGGATGCCAGCGTCCCCAGCTTGTTGCCCCACTCCTGTACTTCCTTGCCGAAGTCGTCTGCACTGGGGGGCTTAAGTGGTGCCAGGGTATGAGCCTTTGCCGTCTGGATTTCTTTTCCACTGTAAGCTTCCAATTACGTTCATCCTCGAATTGCTCCTGAAGAACTGCAATGCTGTCCTCCAGCTCCTCGATCCGTTCGTTGCAGCTCTTGAGTTGCTTCTCCTTTTTCTGCAGGAAGGTCTCTGCCCGACTGACCAAGACGCTAGCTAGGAGGGCGTCATCCCTAGCTTGGCGAACATTGCTGAGCACCTTCTGAAGCATGTTGACATCTTCCTGTCCCAGCTGGTCGAACTTGGTCCCAGCTCCGTCGGTGAGTTGGTGGAGGCAATCGGCTGCGCCCAGAGGGGCTTGGGGCGGAGGGCCGCCTCCGCCCCACCTGCCTTTGCCTTTGCCACCTCCCCCTTTTCCGCCTTGGCCGCCCGTTGCCTTCCAGTTCCAAGCGCCCCATCCGTTGCCCAGGTTGCTGTGCTGCCAAACACCTTGGGCAGGCTGGTGAGGTTTCTGGGTGACCTGACGGAGATCTGCACCACAAGCGTAGCACCAAGTGTAGTGAGTGGGGTTCCGACGACACCCGCAAGAGCCACACACCACGCTGCCACGAGAGAAAAGAACATCCTTGCCTGTCATAGGCTAGCACAAAGTAAAGAGGAGTACGTAATGTGTCAGTGTAAAGCGAGGGAACCTCACTGCAGTACACGGGCTGGCATGCTGTTGGGGCCGCCTCTCCCCTTGCCGCAATGACCTCTGTCCTTGAGCAATGCCTCCGGACTTGAGCCAAAATGGCTACGGACCCTCTCCCCCTCCCCCTCCCCCTCCTCCTCCTCCTCCTCCTACTCCTCCTCTTCTTTTTCTCATTATCATTATTATCCTTATTATTATTATTATGTTTCGTCTTCTTCTTCGTCTTCTCATTATTAATATTATTATTATTAGTACTAATACTATTACTATTATTCATATTCGTATTATTAGTATTGGCTTTCTTATTTTTCCTCATCCTCCGTCCTCGTCGTCGTCGTCCTCGTCCTCGTCCTCCTCCTCCTCCTCCTCCTCCTCCTCCTCCTCCTCCTCCTCCTCCTCCTCCTCCTCCTCCTCCTCCTCCTCCTCCTCCTCGTCCTCCTGCTCCTCCTCCTCCTGCTCCTCCTCCTCTTCTGTTTCTTAGTATCCTTCTTATTATTATTATTCTTCTTATGTTTCGTTTTCTCCTTCGTCTTCGTCTTATTATTATTCCTTGTATGATTATGTTTCGTATCATTCCTCCTCCTCCGTCCTCGTCCTCGTCCTCGTCCTCCTCCTCCTCCTCCTCCTCCTCTTCCTCCTCCTCCTCCTCCCCTCCTCCTCCTGCTCCTCCTCCTCCTCCTCCTGCTCCTCCTCCTGCTCCTCCTCCTCCTCCTCCTCCTCCTCCTCCTCCTCCTCCTCCTCCTCCTCCTCCTTGCTATGCTGGTAGGCTGCAACGATGATGGGGCTTGCCGCCTGCAAATGTGGGTGTGGTGCGTACGATTCCCTCCCATGAGAAACGCGTGCTGGCGCTGCTTGAGCGGGCCACCTGCGAGTCGTTGGAGCTCTGCTGCGACTCGTCGGCTTCATCCGAGTCGTCGGCCGCCTCCACAGCCTGGGACTGCGAAGTCATGGCGACGAAATGCACCCCTCCTCCCCCGCCTGCCCTCGATCTCCCCCCTCCTTCCCCCTTCCCCCCTCGCCATACTCATAATTGTCAACATCCTCCTCCTTCTCCTCCCTCTTCCCACCGTGAGGGTGGGTGTGTGGGTGGGGGGAATACCGCGTTGATGGATAAACTTCCAGGGCGGGGAAAGGGGGACGGGTGCCGGAACCTCGCGAGCAACCTCGGCCTTCTGCGCTTCCTCGGCCTTCTGCGCCTCCTCGGCCTTCCTCGCCTCCTCGGCCTTCCGCGCCTCCTCGGCCTTCCGCGCCTCCTCGGCCTTCCGCGCCTCCTCGGCCTTCCGCGCCTCCTCGGCCTTCCGCGCCTCCTCGGCCTTCCGCGCCTCCTCGGCCTTCCGCGCCTCCTCGGCCTTCCGCGCCTCCTCGGCCTCACGCGCCTCCTCGGCCTTCCGCGCCTCCTCGGCCTTCCGCGCCTCCTCGGCCTTTTGCGCCTCAAGCGTTTGTTTCATGCTCCGCTCACCGGGGAACCGAGGGCGAGCGGCAGAAACGCATCTATGGGGCAGCAACTGGAATTGCAGAATCATCGAAGATGTTCAACTGCCAGCCGTCGAATGGCAGGCAAGAAAACCCCGTGGGTTCACGCGAAAACACATCACGTGTTCCGGCCATCCACCACCATTTCCGATATGCATTGGTTATATATATATATATATACACATACATATAGACAACAATATACACAAGAATGTACCGTCTCGCTACGCTTCGCCATTACAATCTTGATCGCCTGGCGCCAGCGAGGTGCGCTGCGACCACCATCGTCATGAATTGGAAATGGGGGAGTGGGGCGGCGCGGTCCCAGAGCTTTTAGAGGTGGCGGGCGCCACGGGTCTGGAAGGTCTCCCGAAAGCTCTAGAACGCACGATGTTTGGAGCTGGAACTGGGCTCGAGCTGGATCTGAGGCTTGAGCTGGAGCTGAGTTGGAGCTGGAACTGGAGCAGGAACTTGGGAGCTCCTGCAAGTGCTGCTACAGCTCCCCGTCCTCCTCCTTCTCCTCCTCCTCCTCCTCCTTCTCTGCCTCCTCCTCCTCTCGGATCGGTTGGATCGGTTGGATAGGGGCACAGAAAACTCCTTCCTGGGAGAGAACTTCTGGCAACACGAAAAACATAATTACCCCAGCGAAGCCCCTGAATAGCAGCAGAAGTGACCCATTGCACCTGGCGTACCTGTGGGACCTGGTGGTTTACTTGACCTGCGGCACCTGTGGGACCCATGGGATGTGCGACACCTGTGTGAATTGCGGGACCTTCGACACCTGTAGTGCGACATGTGGGACATGCGAAACCTGCGGCATTTGTGGGTCCTGCAAGACCTGTAAACCTGTTGGACCCGCGGGGCCTGTGGGACCAATGGGACCTGTGGGACCTGTAGGACCTGCGAGACCTGTGAGACCTGTGAGGCCTGTGGGACCTGTGTGACCTGTGGGACCTGAGGTACCTGTAGGACTTACGGGACCTGCGAGACCTGTGGGACATGTGGGACCTGTGGGACCTGGGGGACCTGCGAGACCTGTGGGACCTGTTGTACATGTGGGACGTGCGGGTCCTGTGGGGCCTCTGAAACCTGCAAGAACTTTGGGACCTGTGGAGCGTGAGAGACTTGCAGGGGCCTCTATGGGAGACTTCTTGGGGTCTTTTGGGGGCCCCCGAGATCAGATCATTGAAGCAATTCTGGGGCTTCCCCAGGGCGTCTTTTGAAGACGCCTTGGGGGTTTGGGGGGCCTCTTGGGGGCCTCTGGGGGCGTTTGGGGAACCACTCGGCGGTCTCCGGGGCCATGAGCGCGTTTCTTTATGCTCGGCGATGACGGGCGTCATGGGGGGCGGGGGGGCGACGAGGGGGTATGACGTAATAACGCCCCCCCCCACCGTGTGGCTCCGGCACTGCAGCCGCGCCCGCGCGCGCGACGCGACGAGCGACGAGCGACGCCGACGACGACGACGACGGCGACGGCGACGACGAAAGCAGCATGTAGGTGGCGATATGCCCCACTGCGCCTGTGTACACCACAACGCTCGCGTGCACCACAGCGCGCGTGTATACCACAGCGCCTGCGTACACCGCGACAACCGTGTGCAACGCAGCGCCTGTGTACACCACAGTGCTTGCGTACACTACAGCGCTGGTGTACATGTGTACACCGCAGCTAACATGTGCAACGCAGCGCCTGTGTACACCACAATGCTTGCGTGCACCGCAGCGCCGGTGCACGCCACAGCGCGTGTCTACACCACAGCATCCGCGTGCAACGCAGCGCTGGTGTACACCACAATGCCTGCGTGCATAGGACAGGTAACTAGAAGGAGCACGTACGTGAGGATTTGCTGCGGACAACTAGACGCCATTCCGGGAAAGTGCTGCTAATCGAATGCGACGTTCTTCCCCCCTCCCTCCTCCTCCGCCTCCACCACCTCCTCCTCCTCCTCCTCCTCCTCCTCCTCCTCCTCGTCCTCCTCCTCCTTACCCCCTGTCGTGCGGGTTGGCGCTACAGCGCACGTGCGCATCTCAGCGCGCACCGCAGAGTGGTCTATTGAATCGGTCCCCGTGGTTCCCGGACGGCCAATTTAGCTCGAGCCTCCTGGACGCAGATGGGAGGAGCTAGGGTAATGCGGGCGGACTCGGGAGGACTCGTAGATTCCAGCGGCGCTCCGTTGTCCATAAGGATTTGTTCTATTGTTTTCTGTGGAATCCACAAGCGCTCCACATTCTATCCCTGTACGACCACCCTTCCAGTGATAAGGAGGTTCCGGGGGGGGAACCAACGTCTCACTCGATCGGTCTCATTATCGATCTTACTATCGATCCCACTATCGGTCTCGCTCGATCGATCTCACTCGATCGATCTCACAATCGATATCACTCGATCTATTTCATTCGATCGATATCACAATCGATATGCCTATCGATCTCACAATCGATCTCACTACCGATCTCACCATCGATTTCACAATATGTTTCACATTCGGTCTCACTATCTATATCACTATCGATACCACAATCGATCTCACAATCAACGTCATCATCATCATCATCATCATCATCATCATCATCATCATCATCATCATCATCATCATCATCATCATCATCGACATCATCGCCATCAACGTCATCAACATCATCAGCACCATCATCGGGACACCATCATCATCATCACCTCATCAACATCATCATCATCATCATCACCATGGGGCCACCATCATCGTCACCATCATCATCACCGGGACACCATCAGCATCATCATCGGAACACCACCATCATCATCATCGTCATCTCATCATCATCCTCATCAACATCGGCAGCATCATCATCGTCGGGACACCATCATCATCAGCAACATCATCATCATCATCAACATCATCATCGGGACACCATCATCATCGTCACCATCATCATCATCGTGACACCATCGTAATCACCAACCTCCGCATCATCATCGGGCCACCAGCATCAAAATCATCATCACCTCATCATCATCCTCATCATCAATATCATCATCATCATCATCATCATCATCATCGAACACCGTCATCGTCATCATCATCATCAACAACATCATCATCATCATCATCATCATCATCATCATCATCATCATCATCGGGACACCATCATCATCTCAATCATCATCATCAACAGCATCATCGCCAACCTCATCATCACCATCAACATCATCATCATCATCGGGACACCATCATCAACATCATCTTCATCATCATCATCTCATCATATCATCATCAACATCAGCAGGATCATCAACATCATCATAATCATCATCATCATCGGGAAGCCATCATCATCATCAGCAACATCAGCATCATCATCATCATCGTGACACGATCATCGTCATCACCATGGCCATAATCATGATCACCATCATCACCATCATCGGGACACCATCATCGTCACCATCTTCATCATCAACACCATCATCATCATCGGGGCACCATCATCATCATCATCATCATCATCATCGAAACACCACCATCATCATCACCATCATCTCTGCATCATCATCATCATCATCATCATCATCATCATCATCATCATCATCATCATGAACAACATCATCAGCATCATCATCGGGACACCATCATCATCAGAAACATCATCATCATCAACATCATCATCAGCATCGGAACACCATCATCATCGTCACCATCATCATCATCACCATCATCATCTGGACACCATCCTCATCACCTCCACCAGTATCAACATCATCATCGGGCCACCACCATCAAATCAAAATCATCATCATCACCTCATCATCATCCCCATCATCAACACCATCATCATCGGGACACCATCATCGTCATCATCATCATCAACATCATCATTATCATCATCGGGACACCATCATCACCATCAACATCATCATCATCAACCGCATCATCATCAACCTCCTCATCATCATCAGCATCGGGACACCACCATCATCATCAGCATCATCATCATCTTCATCATCTCATCATATCATCATGATCAGCATCATCACGATCAGCAACACCATCGTCATCACCATCGGGACACCACCATCATCATCAGCAACATCGGCATCATCATCATCATTATCATTATCATCATCATCATCATCATCATCATCATCATCATCATCATCATCATCATCATCATCGAAACACCATCATCATCACCACCATGGCCATCATCACCATCTTTTTCATTATCAACATCGTCGTCATCACCATCATCATCATCATCAGGACACCGACGGGGCACCGGCGGGACACCAGCGGGACACCGCGGGGCACCGGTTGCCAGAAGGGAGACTTTTGGCCCGGCCGCGCCTCAGCCAGAGGCGGGACATTTCTCGCCCGCCCACACAGCTTCGCCTCGCCCGCACGCACGGCACGCACGAACACGAAACCGAAACCGATTTCCCGGTAGGGGGGCTCTCCGTTCCACTTCGATCTCACCCCCTCACCTCCGATGCAACACTGGTATGCAACAGTGGTGCTGTGTTGCACACGGTTGCTGTGATGCACACAGGCACCGTGGCGTACACAGGCATTGCAATGCACGCAAGCATTGTGGTGTACACTGGTGCGGTGTTGCACACGGCTGATGTGGTGTACGCAAGCGCTGTGGTGTGCACGAGAGCTGTTGTGCCCGCAGGCATGGTGGCACAAACTGACGCTGTGTTGCACGCGGCTGCTGTGGTGTACACAGGCGGCGTGGTGTACACCAGGCTGCGGTGCACGTAAGCACTGTGGTGTACACAGGCGTTGTGGTGCAAATCGCCACCTACATGCTGGCGCTACCCGTCCTCCGTTACTCCTGAGGATTCCCAAACGCCGCCGGCGCGAAACGTGACGACAGACCCCCTCCACCACTCCCTAGATGATTGCCCTCATCGGCCCGGAATAAAAAACAGGCTTCAGCCGCGTCCGCGCGCACGACGACTATGAGCGACGAGCGA